CTCTCAACCTCCAATTCGTCAAATTAAAGATTACCTGTGACAAGAATTTGAGATGTCGCCTCTCCTCCATTCACCTTATTCATATCATAGCTCTAGGCAAACTCAAGACTCTTTGTTTAGTCTCTTTGCCCTAAATTAAACAACTAATCTAATTTATATATTTAATTATTAATTACAAATGTAATTAATTTCATATTCGATAATACCGATTGGAATACCAAGTACCGATTCGGATCCGCAATGTTTAGGGATTGGAATTGGGGTACCGAAAATATTTAGAGATTGAGATTGATTTTAGAGTGTAATTTGGTATTCGGAATTTCGATATTTGGTATCGAGACACCGATATTATACCAATTTTCACCCCTAATTATTAATGTTATATGAGCCTCTTCGTCACCCTTGGACAAAATCTTGAGTAGGCTTTGATTCACATGGTGAAATTTAATTGAATATTGAAAAGGTGGGGAAGATGAACAACTGCAGAAACAAAGACCAGAAGGAAAGATAATTTTACTAACCCTTCTTTTAATTATTGTAATTTTACGAAATGCATGTTAGTAAAGGGTGGATTGTTTAGATTAGTAAAAATAATATCACCCGGTTAACAAGACGCCCGCTGCCGCTGGCTAAGGTAACGTTAAATCATAATGGTTGAATGTTTTTTTTTTTTTTTTATTATGCACAAAGTTTGACTAAAGGAAATATATAGTTGTTTGTGCAGTGGATTGTGGCTTGAACGGCACTATGGAATAGATGAATGATAATGGGTTTGGCACACTAACAAGGACTTTAATTAATTAATTATCACAACTAGCAAACTTTAATTATTCCAATGATGCAACTATTATTATAAGTCAATTAATTAACACCCATTTGACCCCACTAATACGTTAAGGCCGATGCCTTGGCTTTGTTTCCTTTCTCTTCTTTTTGAGCAATAAAAAGTCAAAAGATTTATTGGGAACTTTATTATTATTAATCGTTCATGACAATCTGTTTACTCTAATTTTATTTTATTTTCTCCCTCTCTCGTCTTGTTGTTTAGAGTTGAACCGTTGACGTGCAGGTTTGCTTTGGATTAAAGTCCAGTCCAACAATGGAGCCGAGTAATTAATTGGTGGGACCCACCCACTCAGTCTAGTACAACGATCGGCCTAGCTAATGTTTTTTTTGTTTTGTTTTCTCTAATAAACAGGATCAATGAAATTTTCATAAAAGAAGGCAAAGACCTAAAGTGGTAGAATATGTAACCGCTCAAGTCAACAAGATGAAGTTGTCTTGAAATAGAAGCATTGAGTATGTAATTTTTTGAGTATGTAATTTTTTTTATTTATTTTCTCATCTCAATACTTGTTGAAATTGGATTCAAGTTTGTACGATCGAACATAATCTGCAATTATTGTGACCCTAACAACCCATATTCTTTTCGAATATGACCATCGTATCAGCATTGATACTTTTTGTTATAGACGAATACGTGGATGAGGATAACCATATTCCAATGACAGTTCCTCGACCTAAAGAAGTCTGGCTAGCAACGAAAGAGCTCGATTAATCATAGACCTTAAAGTCGTTCTTGTGTGGTGTTTGCTCTTGATAATGCGCTTCATTGAAGTTTCCCAATGCACTAGATAAAGTCTCCATCATGCTGGTCAATACGAACGTTATGGGTCGTAGTGGAATCAAAACGGAAGAACAAGTTTTGTGGAGAAGAAAAGGGACCGTAGAGTCTTAGGGCGAACTTTCCATGTCAAAAGGCTCAGCGTAGTATAATGGTCTGGTCAAATATATATGGGAACGAGAGTAAGGGACCATTCCTTCCTTGTAACTGACAAAAGAAATCACCAACAAAAGTAGTTACGTTTGCTGCTGCTAAAATGGCCCAAAAGAAGGAAAGGAAGCAAAGCAAAGAAAGAGAATAGAGATGAAAATGTACAGTATGGGATGTAAGAGTGTGATATGGATTCGGCATATCTTTTTCCAACAACTCGAGTTATTATATGGTATCAGAGCTGGTTTGACCAAGTGGTTGTGTGTTCGAATCTCCACGACCCCCCAATAATGAGCATGTGCAAACTTCAAGCCCGTGAGTTCTCCCAACAACTCGACTGGTTTGAACTTTCCAAGTGCGAAAACATCAACAAAGACAAAAGCTTTATTCCGCGATTAGCGACACAGCTAGCCGAGTAACTGGTGAAGCCAAGGGCGATGGAGAGGAGAGGAGTGGGGCTAATCATCACAAAACCACACAATTCAACGATATTAATCCACATAAAATTACATTCATGTACTAGCTAGGTGGAGGAAACGTAACTCGCAAAGTCTGTGCAATGAAGATGGCATGACGAAGGGTATAATACAAGTCAAATAATAGTTGAACGTGTGGGACTCCATCAAAATCCTGTGCTCCCGCGGTTTCTTAATCTTTATTGTTTTAATTATTACAATTTTTCTCAGGTCGATTTTGCTTTGCATTGCATCGTGTGTGGAGAAAGGAGAAAAGCCCAGATAATGGAAACGATCGAAAGGAAGACATGTCTTCATGTTCATGTTCTGCATACCCTCGTTTCCCACGGCGTCGTCTAATATAATGAGGTTTTTTCCAGGATTCATATTCGATTTGGAAGAATGTTTGGAGTAATTGTCAACTGATGATCGGGACTGGGAACGCGTGTTTGCAACTGGGCAAAAAAGAAACACGTTTCATGAGCAATTTTTTTTTTTTTTTTTTGCAGAAGCGATAATTTATAATCATTTTCAAGTGGGTAATGAATGTTGATATAATATATTCTATGAGGCAGACGTGTGTTGTGGGGCTTATATATTATTATTATTATATTAAAACAGAGTTGTTAAAGCAGTTGTCAGCTGACTTTGATAGTCAACGACTTCATCCATCCATGTTTAGTCACCTCAGCCACTCATTTCTATTCAAATTGAGAATGATGTTCACCAACGCAATTTGGGTTGGGCCTGTGACTGACTGAGTAGGATTTGTGAACTTTAAGCCGGATTAGTTAGTCCGCCTCGGCCCAGTATGTGCCCTAATAAGTTAAGCCCATTACTCTTTGCTCAAACCTTAAAGCAAAGATGGAGGTCAAAACCGCAATAGTGCATGTATGTATGTCCACCAAACTAGGGATGGCAATTTACCCACCCATGGGTATTTTTGCCCAAACCCAATTATATCCATTTATATGGGTTGGGTATGGATTTATTCTATTTGGATTTGGATAATATTTGGGTAGGTGGAGTTGGGTTTGGATTTTATTTTTGGGTATGGATTGGGCTTGGGTACCCATCTCCTTGGACCTACCTGTATATGTTTTTTTTATTAGATGTTAAAATATAAAACAAAATTTTTAATGTATTAAAATGTAATTTTCCACACATGATGCTGGACCTATTTGTATCTTCTTAAAAACTTCAGGTACTACAATGTAACTTCTGCTACAGCGAGTCAGCGACCATCGTGTTCCAGCTCTTCGTCGGCTGTTTCGACGGTGCCGGACGTCGATGCCTCCCCTTCCGACTGACAGGCGAGGATGATGCCGCCGGACGCCGGTGCTCTCCGGAAGCTGGTGGGTGGTGGGGATTTCACCCGGCGGCGAGGCTCCAGCGGGGATGCTATCGGAGGACTCGGTGTTGATGATGGAGGAAGAATCAGAATCGCCGCCGTCGTCGTCCTCCGGCCGGTCATCGATCTGGGATCTAGCTAGGATCGGTCCGACGTCATCATCAACACCGAGTCGTCCTCCGGCCGGTCATATGATGTTCTGGACCCGAAATTGGAAACTCAATTCCAAGTGAAAGTCCTGAAAATATGGGAGAATTAATTAACCTGCTAGTATGCTACTGTCAAAAATATGGAAAGTGACAAAACGTCCACTATCCACAAAATATATCAACCTGCTAGTCTGCTACTGTGAAATAGTCAAGAGGTAAGTTAACAAGTGAACACAAGACAACTGATGGAAGCCAAGGAAGGGGAAAAGTGAACACAATACAAGCATCCAGAAACCAAACTTTGAATTTGCCAAACTGTCCCTCCTACTCAGATTGTATTCATCATCCATTCCTATATTCCACTAGGAGAAAAAGAAAAGTTGATCACCAATGTCCTTAATCAATTTAAACACAAGAGCCAAGGTGAAACCCTGCCCTTTGTACTCCAGTTCATTTCAGGCAAACCCCAAGTCCATTCATTCCAAGCCTCCACAGAAACATAAACCTATTAACAAGCAGGAAACATAAATCTAGAGAATAGTACACCTTTCTCAATACAATATTGCATCCCATCTATTAACAAATAGGACCTGGGTTCACAAGCAGGAAACATAAACTCATAAGGTGTGAACCCTGATGTCAAATGCGCCAATCTGCAGCCTGGAAACAAGCTCTGCCTAGGAAAAAATTAATTAAGAACCCTACCAACCTTTATATTTGCATATAGATCAACCACAACCATGCTCAACAATATCCTAACTAAGTTTGACCTCAATGTCTCTGTCATTCATGGACGACTCGTAGGTCTAATAAGTAAGTCGAGTTTAACGATGTAGCCTTTCTATCTACCATATCATTAGATTAGATTATCATACAAATAGGACCTGGGTTTTGCAACCCAGAAAACAGGACTACTGGAAGACAAAAGGACAGGGGAATGTGATGGAAAACTAGTTGAAAAGGAAAGGTATAAACAGAATCAAAATGAGTGTTTCCAAGCAAAACCAAGCAAAACAGACGTTGGACACGTTCAGCAACCAAACAAGCAGCAAACGTTGCCAATCACATTTTCCATTAACATTAAACTTTCATTCAAGCTAAAAACCAATCACAGTTCATACCCAATTCACAACTAAGACCCATTCAGAAACCCTTTCCCCTGAATAAATCCTCTGAACAGAGTTCATAAGACCCAGTTCAAAAACATAGGGTAAGATGAACAATACCTGGAGCCTGGCGGAGTGGGCTTCGTCTCGAGATTGAAAGGGAGAGAACGAGCAGGTGATTCGCGAAGCTGTTGGCGATCTTGTGAGGGTAGGCGACCAGACCCTCTTGTTCTCTAGAATCCCACCGATTGACAAAAGAGAAAACGGGTGCCCCGAGATCGAAAGGGAGAGGAAGAACCGACGAATCGCGAAACCGCCGGCGGTGTTGAGGGGGTGGGCGACGAGGCAAAGCGACCAGATGCCCAGACCCACTTGTTCTTCGGAATCCGACCGATCGAGAGGGATAGGAGGAGCTGGCGTCTGGCGAGTCGCGAAGCCATCGGCGGTATTGAGGAAGCCGACGATGGTTGCTCCCCGAAATCCGATCGATCTGAGAAGTGAGAAGGGTCGAAGGGAACTGGCGGTCTGACGTCTCGAGATCGAGAGTGATAGGAAGAGCTGACCGTGGGCGATGTTTTTTTCCTTTTCGTTTAATTATTTGGGTTTGGGTTTGGGTTTTTTAACCCAAATCCATGGGTAAAACCCAACTGGACCCAACATTATGGGTATGGGTGTTGACCCATTAGACTTTACCCATTTAAAGTTGACTTGGATTTCAGACCTGACCCACATGGGTTGGATACTTAAAACCCAATGGGCATGGGTAATTCTGCCATCCCTACACCAAACTCTTTTAACTTCTCTTCCTAGGAATGGGTTTTTCTTCCTAGATGAGTTTTGCCCCCAACTACACTTGGTAATCGGGTCGGGTTAGATAATTTCGGATTGGAGTTTCATATTACAGGTTGGGTCATGTTGGCTTGGCTTATTTCGGGTTAATTATTGACCCAGCCCATTCGGTTTCGGATCATTTTGGGTTATTAGCGCTCTCAGAAACTGTATCAAACATGCTTCATATTTTTTTAACGAACACAAATCTTTACATGTTCATGATAATAGTTTACCTAACACATGTCAATTAACATATTCTCAAATCTTCTCATGCTAATGAAATGAAATACAAATTGCACAAATCGTCAAAAAACAATCACAAGAGTAATACTACTACAAGAAACACATGATATTTGATTATCCTTAAACTCCAAACATGTCTTTCAAGTCCTTGTGAATTTTTTTAAACTTCTAACCAATTTAAGAGTGATTTATCATTTTGTGAGTTACATATGAAATGGAACAGGTCTAACGGGTCGACCCACTAACCCACCCAACTCGGCCCAAAAAATAACGGGTTATCGGGTTGGAGTCATTCGGATTTCGGTTCATAAAAACTTCTATTTTTCGTGCGGGTTCGGATCTGATCATCAAGTCGGATTGTAATTTGCCAGGTCTACCCCAACCAGCTCATGGATGGCGTCTCAGCCGGCTTTTTTTTCTCCTTCTATTTGTGAAACTACAAACTAGACCCTCTGTCTCCGTTACTGTTTGCGTTGTGCTTTGAGGGCTTCAGGGCTATGATTAAGGAGATGGCGGGTATGCCTGCGATTCAAAGGATCCATATGTCTCCTGTCTTGTCCTGTGGTTTTTCGACCTTCGTCTTTGGTATGCTGTGTGTTATGTAGGTAACAGACACCCAAACTGAGGAGCGTACACAAATGGGTCAAGGCCCATGGAAAGACTTAAACAGAGCACATGGGTAATCGGAATAGGCCCACATTAGAAAGCCCAGAACGTTATCCAAGACCCCAGAGAATTGTGCAGCCATTGGAGCCAGTCTCCCCCACTGCACCATCTCCCAAACAAATTAGCTTTTTGGATGGGTATTTTTTAATACTAAAATAGCGGTTAAACCGTGATTCAACCATTTTCGCACTGTTAATAGCGTATATCATTTGTGGTTAGTTATTTAATATCTCTTATTCGATCGACGGACCGATATGATAGGGTTTCTAAAACGTTACGTAATTCACGAGAAGAACCACACTATAGAAGCCGAAGATGGAGTAAGGGGAGAAAACAAACAATCCGTGTAAGGAGGACAGAAAGATGATGTTGGTATGAAACAGGGCCCCAGAGGCCAAGTTTTTTTAGGTCCAGCTTGGTTAGCCCTCCTCATTCTCACTGTTGTTTTCAGTCCACGGTTTGGGGCGGGCCGAAGCAAGTATTAGCAGTGACGCCCGATCTAGTACCCAACAAAGCCCAAGTACTGAGCTAATGGTATTTTGCCTTTTAATTTATGTGACAATCATTTTCCTTGTGTCAGTACTTTATTTAGGGGCAGTAAGAAAGAAGAACACCTCGACAGAGTGATGCTCGATTAATTAAGTAGTTGAAATCTGGTGACGTTAATTTTGCACCTTACATTTGTCTTGTTGTCTTAAATTAAGCACCGGCCGGCCGAGTGGGAAACGACAACATGCAGCAGTATGTATTCACTCCAGGACCTGGGTGGTGGACTGTGGTGCTTGTGTGCCTGCCTTGATTATAAACCTCATTTGGTAGATTCCCAAAGCCAAGTTTAATTCCAACAATTACCAGATGGCGAGGCAGCTACGTTAAGGTACTGATATAATTTAGGCAAAATACACATGTATAGTCAAAACTTTGACGATTTTGCCAATAATAGCCATTTTCTGAGAAATACACAAAATAGCCACTTCCGTCCAATTCTTTAACGGTGTCATCTAACTAGCTGACTGGACTAATGAAAATGCTGATTTGGCGACCTTTGAATAATAATAAGCTGAGGTGGAATTAGCTGAAAAATAAAAATAAATTAATCAATCCATTTTTATTTTCTCTCACCCTTCCCACCCCTCTCTCGTACTTCCCGTCGCCAGCTCCACAGTAGCAGAGCCGCCGCACAGCCACCGAAAACCCATTTCCCCAACTCCACTTTGTACACAATCCCTAACCCGCTCTTCCCCAATACATAAGTCGATGCCCTTAACAGCTCGTCCAGCTCAAAATTAAAGAGGGTTACTATTTGCCGCCCGTGTAATTACTATTTGCCGCCAGTAAAAAACACTAAAAACACAATTTTGCCCTCCAAAATTTTCTTTATATTCTATTCGCTGAAATGGTTTTTTAAACAACATACACACTACCCGAGTCCCGACCACCAACCCCCCACAAACACCACAGCCAGATTCACGGCCACCGGACAGCAGCCAAACTCGCCGGCCACCAGACCAATCTCGTCAGGATAATTCGCCGGGCACTGGACGGCAGCCGTACCCCGTCGTCGGACCAGCGAAGCAGGTAAACCCCACTGATCCTGGATTTTTTTTTCGGTCCGCTCGCCGGCGTCGGACCCCGTCCGCTCGCCGGCGTCGGACCCCGTCCGCTCGAGTGCGTCGGACCCCGTCCGCTCGCCGGCGTCGGACGGGGACCGGATGCATAGCAATGTCATATTTTTTTCTATTTTATTTCTAGAGCTAATAATTTATATTTAATTTATTACTTTTATTTCTATTTTACATAGTTAAATTCCTATGTAGTTTGAATTAAGCGATTGTATTTTGTTGTAGCGCTAATTAGTTTCTTACTGTCAAATTATCGTTATTTTGTAGAGTTAATTAAATTATTGCATGTAGTTTAATTTTGTAGAGTCAATTGAAGCACAATTAGTTTAATTAAGAGATTGTGTTTTGTTGTAGCGCTAATTAGTTTATTGTGTTTAGATATAATTCGTAGAGCTAAAGAAGTTTAATAATTTATATTAAAATAATTTTCTTATCGTCAAATTATCATTATTTTTTAGAGTTAATTAAATTATTGCATTTAGTTTAATTTTGTAGAGTCAACTGAAGCAAAATTAGTTTAATTAAGTGATTGTGTTTTGTTGTAGCGCAAATTAGTTTATTGTGTTTAGATTTAATTCGTAGAGCTAATTTGGTTTAATAATTTATATTTAAATTATCTGTATTTTTTAGACATAATTAAATTATTGCATTTAGTTTAATTTTGTAGAATCATATAATTTGTACATTTCTAACGAGTTGTAAAATCATAATTGCAGGTGGACATGGCTGACAATGTTGAACTAATTGGTGATTACACAGACCATTTTCTCAATGGCGTCCGATATGCCAATTTCGAAGATGCTGTAACAGTGACCAAAAACATCGCGATGTCTCTTGGTTTCTTTCTAACTAAGGGATCGATGAAGGCACGTGAGTTGAGCAACAAAAGAGTATTGGGTATCTGTTATATGTATTGCGACAGATGCAGTAGGGAGAGGAAGTCATACAAGCCGGATCCTTCCAAGGAGAGTCGTGGCAATACAAGTTCAAAAGGAGCGGGATGCATGTTCAAGATTAAAATCAAAGAACTACTGGTTAATCCAGATGCTCTTGATGGACCTTCATTCTGGGAGATACAAGGAGTCGCGGAGCAAGGAACCGGTTTAAGGCGAGGGTATCACAGTCATGAGAAGATGTTTTATCCCGAGGGCCACAGTCAAATGAATAAATTGAGTCAGGAGGATAAAGAATCTCTTAGGCAGATGAGAGATGCTGGGGTACCTCCGTCGCAACAGAAGCAGACAATAAACAAGCAGAAGGGTGACAAAGGGCATCACACCCAAAGGCAGATGTATAACCTCGGGTCCAAGTCTAGGAAAGACGAGATGGGCGAGATGAATGCAGTGCAGTATGCGTTGCTAGAAGCTGAACGTGAGAATTATCATACAGAGGTTATGAAGGACGATGACGACGTGTTGACACATCTTTTTTTTGCATATAAATGACGACATCCAGATGTTGAAGGCTTGGCCGTACGTGATTCTGATCGACTCAACGTATAAGACCAATGCACATAAATGACCGTGGGTGGAGGTCGTAGGTGCTACTCCAGTTGGGAAGAATTTCAACATCTGTTGTGCTCTCATGAAGGATGAGACAAAAGAGTCGTATCTGTGGCTGTTGCAGTGCATACAACAATTGCTCCATCCACGCGTGCCCACTGTCATCGTCACCGACCACGACTTGCTACGGTTCCTGTGGTCTTCCCCCGCACCCCGCATTTGCTATGTGTTTGGCACATCAACACCAATGTGCAGAAGAAGTGTTTGGAAATATTTTGGAAGGACATGATGGATTTGGTCAACGAGGCGTACGACCAATATTGGTGTCCTATGCTTTATTCTTGGTCAGAGCAATGTATGTTGGCCGCGTTTGGCCGCTTTAGGACAAGATGGGGCAATCAAGAACCACGTCTGTTGCAATACATACAGGGAGTGTGGTGACAACATCGAGAAAAGTGGGTTGTTTGTCATACAAAAAATGTGTTTCATCTAGGAAATACGAGCACAAACAAGGTTGAGTCGTCACATTCCGCTTTGAAGACTTTCCTCCACAACTCGCGGGGATCTATGGACACTGTATGGAAAGGAAACCACCGCTACATTACTAACCAACTCGGGGAGGTTAGGATGATGTTGGAAAACTCTAGACAGAAAACCCTTTCAGCATCCGGTGGTACACCATTCACATACTTGAGAAGGAAGGTCAGCATGCAGTCAATTATATTAATGAAGGAGGCTGAAGAAGAATTGCCTGCCCGCTTGGAAAAAAATGAGAACTCCTGATGTGCATGTCATTTCTCTGTGACACACGGCTTGAGGTGTGGATGTCAAGTTATGGATGGCAGAGCGAGACATAGAGATATATCCCGGTGATATTCATATATATTGGCGGACACTGTCATACGAGCATCCACCCAATGCTCAGGAGTACGTTCCCCAGGAGGAGGAGGCTAGATCTCACCTTCAGGAGTTGGTTGATGAGGTTGTACGCAGAGGACCAGAGGCAACGAAAAAAGCACCAAAGAACGTGTTTCGCGGTCTCCACCCGGCGGAGGACGAAGTGAACGAATTTAGAAAGGGGCGCCCAGCCAAAAAATCAACTGGAAGAATGAAAGGGTGGTGGGAAAAGGATACTGCGAGGCAATAAGAAAAGCATGAAAAAGAAGTCGGGAAGCACAACGTCGGGGTCTACAAAGTCGACCAGTACCAAGTCCACGGGGACTCAGACAGACGAGTACCCGTCAGACGACCATGCAGCGGAGGAGTGTGATGATCCAGAAGATAACAACAAATACAACTGTCCTGACACAGGTACAATTTCATTTTTTCATAAGTGTAGTTATTTATATTAATATTTTACATCGCATTTGTGTTGATTACCTATTTCCTTCACAGATATCCCTGGACCCAGCAGCCCCCATTCTGATTACGCACACATGGAACTGCTTCCTGTCTTCATTCGGCCGCTTGTCATTGCCATCCACGACCCGGTGCCAGACGGTCATTGTGGGTTTCGTGCACTTAGTTTTGCACTATATGGTAATCAAGAAGGGTTCACAGGGGCGAGGGTACGACTTGCTGAAGAAATGCGTGAGCACGATTGGCGATACGCACCCATCTACGGTGAAGGCATCAATGATGCAATCAGACGCATTGACATCACTACTACAGCACCAACGACTCAACATCATTGGATGATGGGTGTGGACCTATTCGTATTTGCCACACTATTTAATTTGGTTGTTGTCATGTACAGCTCTTACCTCTACCCAACACCATGTTCGTACTACTCCACCATTCTGTCAGTGGACAACATATATGGGGAAGCCAACCCTAGAGGAGTCATTGTTCTGCATTTCGTCCAGGATCATTGGATCAACCTCTCTTTCCCGGCGGACAAGATACCGATGCCCCCTCCACATGGCATGTGGCCAGGCGGTCACCAAGAAAGCGTGGATGGATGGGAGACATATTTCGCGCCGTTTAGTCAAATGTGGTTCGATCTTGGGGGTGCGACGAGTAGCTTTCCATCACGCAAAAAGAGGGGTCCAAAGAAATAAACTTGTACTCGTCTTCAATTTAAATAAATTGTAATGAGCGTCTTCAATTTAAATAAATTGTAATGAAGTTTGTTTACGTCACATGGAAGCATGATATAATAAAAACATCCAAAGTACAACATAAACCACATAAGTCATAATCAGATTACACAAATAACATAAGTCATAGTCCCAAAAAAACAAATAAGCAACTGAACACCACATAACATAAGTCGTAGTAGAACACATAAGTCAACTCATCTAAAAACAACAAATAACACTCATATATATGACATAATAATCATACAACTACTGTGGAGGTGATAGAAAACCCGACTTCCTCCTAAACTCGGGCCACATGTTCCCAACTCCATGACATAAGTCGTAGTACTCGTTGGCGCTATCCATCCACTCCTCCCTACTACCCTGTGCAGCATCCATCACGGGAGATATCTCAATCCACATCTCGCGTGACAACTGTAATAAAAAACCATACAATTTAAATACATATTAGTTACAATCAAATTTTTTTTAACTTAATACAAATAATTTAAAATATGATTTTACTAACCGTATCAGCATCCGAGATGTCATGAACAGGTCGGCTGTCACTTAGTATATGTGGGTGCGAGTGCCTAACGTACCACACCATGTAATCCTCAGCAAACTCCCATGGCCTACGTCGTATCGGAGTAGAAAAAAGGTACAGATGCACACCATGCGCCCCCAAGTTGTTCCAATACGAATCATAGACAGACTAGTAGCTAAGAGAGTATCCAAGCGTGGAAGCAGGTCGACGCACAACAAGCGGACGATCCGGTGGATACGGTACACCCGGCACGTAGCCTAACTGTCGGAGGCACCTAGTGGGATCATAATATTCTGCTATCTCTGCAAATCTGAGCAGGCCCTGATACAAGGTACATCTCACCGTCAGATGAGGACTATGACCATACGGAGTCCAACTAACTGACTGAGGGGTCAAACTATCAATCGCATGCCGATAATAAGCCAGCATCTGTGCATCCCTCTTCTTACTCGACCGGGGTGCTGTACCGCGCCACCAGAATGCTCCTGCCTGCCCCGCTCCAGCTCTCATGGCTCCAACCGACTAGGCCTCAAAGTAGGAAAGTGGTCGTAAATCCAACACTGTAGTAAAGTCAGACAACCCGCCACTCCCTTAGCCTCCACCCGGGAGGCAATACCAAGCTGCCTGTACAGATAAGCAAGTGCTCCTGCCCCCCACGCATACTCTCCTAGCATATCCGGCCTCTTCACAAACAAGTTCACAACAGCAGAAACGCGGTCCTTACTCTTATCTACGAACAGTGTGGACCCAAGCAGCAAAAGAAGGTAACACTGAGCCTCTCTAGCTGGCGGACCAGACTGCTGCAAATGAGTCAAAGCTCCCACACCCAACAAACCAAATCCTCTGTACCACCTAGACAGACTAGCAACCTCGCCAACCTGCGCCCCGTACTCATCCTCGTCACGATCTAATCCTAGTAGTGCTCGGATGTCAGCCTCCAGTGCACACTTCTCCAACTACCTCGGATCCACTACCATCGCCTCTCCGTCAACCGCAAGCCCAAGAATGTGTGCCACGTCGTGAAGGAGGATCGTCATCTCTCCAAACGGCATGTGGAAGGTGTTAGTATCCGGCTGCCACCTCTCCACAAATGCCGAGATGAGAGCAGGGTCCAACTCGCTTTGGAAGGTGATATCAACGAGGTGAGCAAGGCCCGATGTCTCTACGGTAGTCCTAGCGTTATCATCTGTTATCTGATAACCGCCGAGAATGTGACAAAGGGTCGCACTCCTGTCGTAGCAAGTGATCACCCCTCTATCAGCCTCTCCCGTGTACAGACGGTGGGCAACATGCCCAAGAAAGCTACGGAGCAAACTCGGGTCGCTCAGCCCTCCAGGTCACGATCCTCTAGGCTCCCAGGCCTCTCCTACATCAGCAGTACAACTCTGGCCCTCAGCAGGCTGTGGAGCTCTATAGAAACTCCCCGCATGGTCTCTATAGATCCCAGTAACAGCATGAACCCCAGTAACGACAGGTGACGCAACGCTGGGGGCACCTCTGTCTCTGATCGGACTGACTCGTGGAATACGATACTCAACAGCATCCGACTCATACTCCTCCGACTCGTCGTCAATCTCGTCTGAAGGCTCAAACGGTGAAGTATGATGATCAATACTGGGACCAGCTCCACTACCACCCATACTAGGCAACTGAAAATCAAACTGAGGGAAACCGTCTACCCTATATCTCATCGGTGTCACCTGTGGCTCATCTCTATCATTTGGGTCCTTATTTCTCGCACTAGCGCTAATGTTACGCCCAAGGAATCTTTTCAATCTCTTTCCTGGTCCTCCAGAACTACGTGATCCTTCAGAATTACCAGATGACGCCATCTCTAAACATAGACAATAATTTTCTATTAATATCTTATTGGAAATTATTTGTTGAGCAATTACTTGTTGTTTCATAGAGTAATTATGATACATACAATTTGTTATCTATTTAATATTTCGTTTGATGTTATCTACTTAATTTAATTAATCTGTTATAATAAATTATTAGATTATCAATTTCTTCATAGTCATAATTTATCAATTACTAATTATGATACATACAACTTGGTTATCTAATTAATTTATCAATTACTAATTAATTTAACTAGATAGTTATTCAAATAATTATTTCAACTTACCCAATTAATAAACTAACACATTATATAATTAATTAACAATTATAATTATTTCAACTTACCCAATATATAAACTAACACATTATATAATTAATTAACAATTATATACAAATTAATCAACTATCAATATTAAACTAATTAATATACTAACAGTTGTATTTAAAATAAATCTAATAAATATTTCTTTAAACCGAACCATTCAAACCGAATCAGAAACTCAATCAGACCGGTCCGACCAGACCGGGCGGACGGGGTCCGCTCCGACCTGGCGGACGGGGTCCGCTCCGACCAGGCGGACGGCGGCGAGACTTTATTAAAAAAAAAAAATTACCTCGACGCCGACGACTAGAACAGCGGCGGCCGCGGCTTCTTCTGGGGGGTGACTGCTTCTCCTGGGCGGTGGCGGCCGAGATCGTCGGTGCAGAGAAGGAGGAGGCGTCCACTGGCTTCTCTCCTGGCGGCGGCGTAGAGCAGAGGAGGAGGAGGCGTCAGCGAGCATAGGGGGAAGGCGGCGCCGGCGAGCAGAGGAGGGGGAAGGCGGCGCCGGCGAGCGGAGGGTATCCGTCGGCGATCTCGGCTCGGCGGCGGCAGGAATGAGGAAAGTGGGGCTCGGCAGCGGCAGGAGGGGGTGGAGTGGGGGTGGGGTGGGTGGGAGGGGGAGGAGGTGGATATATAGGGTTAGGGGGCAGGGGCAAATTCGTCTTTTCTGTCCTAACTATGGGCGGCAAATAGTAAAACGACGGGCGGCAAATAGCGATTCAGAAATTAAACCCTTTGTCCATCAAGACCAAATCCCCTTCTCCCGATTCCACTCCTCCACTGCCTCCTCCTTCCGTGTCGTCGCTTGCGTCGCTTCCACCTCGACTGGGTTGGTGTTCTTCTTGTTCTAATGAATCGTTGACAGGAAAACAAGGTGGAAATCAGAGAGGTATGAAACACACCTTATCAGATGCATGAGAATGGGAGTGGTGTTTAGAATGAGATTTCTTGGAGCGTGGAGCCCTGGCCGGCTTTTTAGTGGGATCAGGATGAAGCTCGGGTTTGGCAATGATTTCGATTTCATATTTGTGTTTGAGGGAGTTTGATTTTAAAGAAGAAGAAAGTGATGAGAGCTCCGAGAAGCACAATAGGGAGAAGAACGTCCATTTCGAACAAAAAGGATCAGAAGCTGAATCGCAATCGATTGTAGAGAATCCGCAAGCGGTTTTGTTGTCAAATTGAAATTGGAATCGAAGACGAAAGAGTGATGATTCTAATTTTTGCTACTATGGATTTGTAGAGATACTGCCGCCGTCTACGGCTGAACGCTGAAAGGAAGGCTGATGCTCTGTTTCCTACAAAGGATCCTCAGGGGAAGGGAAAAGGTGGAGGAAGGGAAAGGGTTTGCTGAGGAAGGCAAAGAGGCATAAATGATTTATTTATTATGTTTTTGTGATTATATTTTTTTAATTAAAATATGACGTGTCGAGTGAGTTGACAGTCCAATAAACGTACTGTTAAAATAACTAACGGTGTTAGTAACGCCGTTAAAATTTGTAACGGAAATGGCTATATTTGTCATTAAACTTTCAAAAGTCTGGCTATTTTCGATATTTCTCCAAAAGTGGCTATTATTATCACAAACGTTAAAATTTTGGCTATACAAATGAATTTTACCTATAATTTATTACCCCATCCCAAAGCGGACCTTTACCCCAACTTTTTTCCCCCCTACAAGTTAGGTTTACCCCAACTTGTGTAAACCTAAACTCACATGGCCACCGCACCAATACCCTTTTTCTGCATGCCCTACCTACTGATCTGATCCATACCATACCATTCATTCATGTAAATGTAAATAATCACATTCACAGCTCACAGGCCACAGAAGAAGAAGAAGAGAAAAAAGGAGGCCCGCTATCATAAAATTCACAGAGCTTGGTGGATGGCCAGATTTCAATCAATGCCCCTTCTTACTAATTAATTTAATTAATTACTCACCGTACGTAACACATAAACAACAGCTTAATTACTGCTTAATCATCAGCAGTTCCAACATCAAAGACGAATCATTTTGTTAATATATTATCAATGTCATGCATACAAACATTGTTTAATTCATGGGAACGACAGAAAGGACTACTAGTAAACCGTAATGTACACATCATTAACTGCTGTACATCCCAACACAAAGGTTATCAAACCGACTCAAGTCATGTCTTTTGCCTCGCCCTCTTTTTGTTTTACTCATAAGTTTTAATCTGATGATTTGAGATTCAATGTTCTTATTCGGTCATTTCATTCCCAAAACAACAACAAATTATCGTATCGCTGGAAGTCAGAAAAAATGGAAAGATCACTGATTTTTTCGGTGTTACTCAACCACCAATTACAACTCAAAATACCTTGTTGTAATCCATATATGCATTGCCGATTCCGAATCGAACCTGATTCGCAACCGGCCGATCTCCCGGTGGTTTAACAACCTTGCCCCCACACTCTCCATCTCCCTAGCTACCACACCATTCTCCATAATTCATACTACTAAACACAAGAGGAGAGAAATGACGCCATACGCCCATACCCTTACTTTGCTTTTTACCTCTTCCCTCGAGTCAGGGTCAGGTCTCGTTAATTTCCCTCTCTGTTTGGTTTCAGTCTCCTCTGTAGCTTCGTCCCCCTCTCTTTTCCTTCACGTGACTCCCTCTGAGCTTGCAATTCCGACAATATACTGCCTCACCTAGATTAGATTACACCCCTCTTTGTCACCTAGCGCTTCCTTCTCCCTCCCTAAACCCTCTCCGCCATGGCCAATCATCCTCTCCACCATCCCTAAACCAACCACCATTCCTCCACCGCCACCCACAACAAAATGACCTTCAACACCCACCTTCTTCTCCTCCTCCTCCTCCTTCTACCCGCTTCATCTTCCCCCTCCCCGCCTCCTTCCGACGCCGAATCCCTCCTCGCATTCAAATCCAAAGCAGATTTACACTCCACCCTCCACTACTCCCACAAATCCTCCCCCCAGCTCTGCCTCCACTGGCAAGGCGTCCGCTGCCTCCAAAACCGAATCACCCACCTCGTCCTCCAGAACCTCCTCCTCGGCGGCGTCTTCCCGGCCAACACCCTCACCGCCCTCGACCAGCTCCGCGTCCTCGGCCTACAAAACACCTCCCTCACCGGCCCAATCCCCGACCTCTCCAACCTCCTCAACCTCAAATCCCTCTTCCTCGACCACAACTACTTCTCCGGCTCTTTACCCCCTTCCCTCGCCGCCCTCCACCGCCTCCGCACCATCGACCTCTCCCACAACAGCCTCTCCGGCCCCTTGCCCCGATGGCTCGCCTCCCTCGACCGATTGAACTCGCTCCGCCTCGAGTGGAATCGATTCAACGGCTCCATCCCGCAGCTCAACCAGTCCTCCCTCCTCGCCTTCAACGTCTCCCACAATGTCGACCTCAATGGAGCGATTCCCCTCACCCCTACGTTCCTCCGACTCGAGATCTCGTCCTTCTCCCTAAACCCTAACCTCTGCGGCAAGATCTTGAAAAGGGAGTGCCATCCCGGAACTCCCTTCTTCGGCTCCCCGTCGCCGTCACGCCCGACGGCGCCGGCGGCGCCATCGGGCCAATCCGCGGAGCTCCGCGGCGTCAATTTAACTCATCCGAGCCGAGATCCAGACCACCACAAGAGGAAATCGGTGATTATCGGATTTTCTGCGGCGGTTTTCGCGATTATTTTGTCGTCGCTGCTGCTCTGTTTCGCGGTGGCGATTAGGAGGAGACGGAGGAGCCAGAGCGAGTTTTCGTCGCCGGAGAAGGCGGCCGTTGTGCTCGACGACGCCGTGTTGCAGATAGACCAGCAGGAGAGCGAGCTGGAGGAGAGAGTGAGGAGGGCGCAAGGGATGCTTCTGGCTGGGAAGACGAAGAGCGGGAGCCTGATGTTCTGCTGCGGGGAGGAGCAGCTGTATACGCTGGACCAGCTGATGCGAGCTTCGGCTGAGCTGCTGGGGAGAGGCACGGTGGGGACCACCTACAAGGCCGTGCTCGACAGCCGTCTGATCGTCTGCGTCAAGCGATTGGACGCCGTCCGATTAAGCAGCACCAGCAAGGAATCGTTCGAGTCGCACATGGAATCGGTGGGCGGGCTCCGGCATCCCAATTTGGTTCCGTTGAGGGCTTATTTCCAGGCGAGGCAGGAAAGGCTTCTCGTCTACGATTATCAGCCCAACGGCAGCTTACACTCCCTCATCCACGGTAAGCAGCAGCCCATCTTTTTATGGGCCCACGGCCCAGTATGAGTTGGTCAACGTTGTTTGACTGGAGAAACTTTACTGAATTGTTTTTTTTTTTTTTTTGTGTTGGTCGGCGGCCAGGTTCCAGATCGGCGAAGGGGAAGCCGATGCACTGGACGTCGTGTTTGAAGATAGCGGAGGACGTGGCGCAGGGGCTGGCTTATATACACCAAGCGTGGCGGCTGGTCCACGGCAATTTGAAGTCAACGAACGTTTTGCTCGGGCCGGAATTCGAGGCGTGCATCGCCGATTACTGCCTCGCCGTGCTCGCCGATTCTTCTCCGCCGGCAGAGGAAGACCGGGACGCGGCGGCGTACAGGGCGCCGGAGATTCACAATTCGGAGGGAACAGGAGAGGCGGCGACGACGAAGTCCGATGTGTATTCGTTTGGGATTCTGCTGATGGAGTTGCTGACGGGGAGGGCGCCGTCGGAGCTGCGGCGGATGGCGCCGGAGGAGATGGCGGAGTTGGTGAGGGGCGGCGGAGGTGGGATGGAGGAGGAGGGCGGGGGAGGGAATGTGAGGATGGAGATGCTGCTGGAAATGGCAGTGAGGTGTAGGTCGGCGGCGGCAGAGCAGAGGCCGACGATGTGGCAGGTGTTGAAGATGTTGCAGGAGGTTAAGGAGACGGCGTCGGTGGAGGATGATGGAGCGGAGGTAGTTACAAGGAGTGAGGATGGGACGTCGTCGACGTCGGTTTAAGTTGGTTGTTTGAAGGATTAGCTTGTAGTGTAGACTGTAGACTCTAATTGGTTCAGTAGGTGATGTATAATTCCTCTTGTCCTGCATTTTGACTGGATATTATTTTGTTTCCGGGTACAAAAATGGATTGAGCTTGAGCGGCAGATTTTTTGATGTAGCTAAGAACGTTAGGCCGCAAGAATTGTTGAGCTTGCAAGTCCAGCTCAAGGAAAACTGAAAACCAGGGGGCAAAGTTATGAATGGATTGTTTACCAAGGGGCAAAGTTACCATGAACCCTCTTCCTCTATTGCCGAGTCTGCTGCATTAATATTATAGTGGCGCGTTGGCTGATGCCGGTTGAGATTTTGGAGGAGCCTGAGCTGCCTTGTGAATGGAGGGTATAGAATGGCAGGAATGTGTCAACTTAAGCAGCTGCTGGAATACAGAAGGTAGCCCTTGGGCTGGTAGTTGGTGTGTTTGTGTATACCATAGGTTATATCTTCCAGGTTAAGAAAGTGCTTCAAATTTTGCCAGTTCCTTTGTTCTCTCTTTTCCATTGAAGAAGATTCCTTCCTAAAGGTGTGAAGAGATTGTAGAGGTCCAGAATTACTGCGCATGGGTTAATTGCACTTTTTGTACAAATAAGGATGTGAAGAGATTGTAGAGGTCCAGAATTCCTCCTAGCCTAAAAATTTGTATATGATGCTGCTACTGCTAGTCTGCTACTGGCTACTGCTACATTGAACAAGTGATGAAGAAGTACTGGACTAAAGTTCTGTGCATGGGTTAATTGCACTTTTTGTCCCATTACTATGTCTTTCTAACCAACAAGTCCCTGTTAAGTGTTAATTACAGTTTGCAGTGAACATCGTATGGTACAAATACTTGTTTGTCAAAATGATATGGTATATCAATTGTTACATATTTCGATCATAAAATGTACCCCAAACAAGAAGCAGACTACAAGGCAATATATCTTGAAGTTAATTTTCCTTTTGTACATATAAGATGATGACATATATTGCTGTCTTCTTACATATCCACACTGCTAAAACAAATCTCCGTTCACAAAGAATATCCCCTCTTATCAACTTTTGTGCTTTACACACTAAAATAATGGCACAAATTAGGCAGATACAAAAAGAAAAAAGAACATTACACCTAATAGTAGGACCAAAAACAAACACAAGGCAGAGAGATCTTCTTCTTCCTTGTGCAATTTTTGTGCGGACATCCTTGATGAGAGTGTTTCCATCCAAGGTGTTGGGTTATTGAACAGCGAACTAGGTATATTTGGCAGAACATAAGACATCTCGCCAGTCGAACTGCGTTTTCCTCAGTTCTTCATTAGTATATATATGATCACGGGGCAGCATCACCAAACCAATGCTTTACAAAGATGCTCCCCAGCAGCATTAGAAGTATCAAACCCTAGCTTCCTTTCAAAATCAACCCATCCATCTCAGCTACAAGCATAGCTCGCTCCCTCTATCATGTCAGAACATTGAGGAATCAACATCACGATCGACAGCAGAGTGAAAATGCAATGGAGAAGCATTTTGAAACAAAGATTACCTCCGATAGAAGCGCATTAGAACCACACTTATAGCTCTAAGATGGAGAGATTATGGTGAGAGTAACCCAAGTTGCTCACAGCTCATGACACACGTGTTCGGTACTGTACACGGTGCTTCGTCCTTGTAATTGTCCCGTCACTGAGCCTGATTGTCTCGGATAGCCTCCATGGCTTCTGCCATTTCCACTTGAATTGCAAGAGCCACTGATGATGACTTCTCTTCCATCTCCACAGCTTCCCACCTTGGCTTGCAACTGCTAGTTTTCTCGTTGATGCTTGCCCCAGCGGTACCATCTGCAAACATCAGCAGAAAGTTAAATACTGTGCTAATCCTGAATGTAAAGATGGCAAGGGGTGGTGGGTTGGTGGACTTCCAGGTCTAGTTTGAATGTGCGGGAGGTTTGTTGGTGAATTGTTGGCATTCTTCTGAAAATTTGATGTAGTTTGGAGAGCACTTAGCGTTCAAGCGGGGAAATAAAAGAAAGATACTAACTTTTCTCGATTGGTCTATAAAAGCTGCAGATTCTCTGACTGGGACGTTCACTATTCCTGGTGTATATTTTAGCTGTTTCGGTGCTGGCACAGATACTGGAGACAAGGGACTGCTCATCATTTCATCAGCACCGTGTTTTAGTGAATTGGGCGGGGTTCCTTGTTCATGGCCAGCCTGAAAAATGGTCATCATCGTCAGAAATTGTTGCCCAAGTTGGGTTCATAAATTTTGTTGCCGAATCATGAATGCTTCCATATTTACCCCTACTGAAGCTGCTGTAGCCAAAGCAATAGCAGCTGCTTGTTCTCTCAACCTCAGCTCCTTCTCGACTTCCTTTCTTCGAGTCTCGCTTTGACGCAATAGATTAACAAGTTCTTTGAACTGTTCCTTCATTTCCTTGATATCCATATCCTTCTCCCACATTTGGCACCTATTGTTAGACATCCAAACATTTGAATGAGTGTTTCATTCTCAGGTTACCTCATAGAGGCTTATATGCATGAAACTTAAAATTTATGGCATCCATGGTCAAGAAAGATCGAGCACCTTGCATCCCCCAGAGAGTTGAACATGTGCTGAAGCAAGCTCTTGGCCTCTCCCATGGACCTCAACTGGTTCCAACGCCCACGGGTGGTGAAGCTGCGTTCACGCTCTTCTGCTTCTGAAAGTTGTGAAGCCATAGCCACGAGAGAGTTGGATGATATGTTCAACATGCTCTCGAGTGAGGCTATTCTGGACATTCTGGCATTCGGTGACATGGATGAAGCCCTGAAGAGAGAAGAAAGAAGAACTGGTTCAATATACTGAAGCATTTTTTTTCATTCATCGATGCAATCACTTCGATAACCATTGTACCTAGCAAATCCATTCTTTCCCTTTGGAGGGGTTAATCCTTTTGAAGCTAGCTCATCCACCTGTCTCAACACAGCAAGCTCTTCGCCCAGTGCAGCTCGCCTGAATATGAACACCACAGTGAGATTTAGATTATGAAGTAGACGATCCAAAGCTCTAAATTGCTGGCTACAGAATGATTTCTTACACTTGGCTTTGCTTCTCATACTCAAAGCGAACTTCATGAACATTCACCATGACTTCTAGCTCATGATCAAGCCATCTTTGTAGAGATTTTTCATTGCTCTGCAATAGAGAGTTTCAAAGATTAAATTTTAAACCAATTCTCCATGATGGCTAAGCAAAGAAGTTTCCTCGGGAAGGGAGAAAAGAAATAGAAAGTACCTGTCCATTGGCTACATGTCCATTGGAAAGACCTGGCAAATGTAATATGACCAAGTCATTTCGTTGGAAAGAATGAGAAGAAAGCTATTGGAAAGAGTTCTGTTACAGATAGTGGCATGTAATGAACAAGTACGAAAGAGATAATCGGTTTCTACCGTTTTCACGTGGAGAAGATTTTCGGCCTTCAAGCAATTCCTTTAGCCTCTTGGTAGCAACAGCAGCTTCCTCTGTTTTTCTTTGCAGAACCTGTAAAATGCAAAAGTTGTCTATGTCAAACAGTAGACAGCTTTACAATCACAATATTTCTAATATTGATAGTGAAATACTGGGGGGCATTGTAAGCTTGGAAGAGGCTCACCATTTTCTGGCGCTGGTTTATTGCTTGTAGCTTATGCCTTTCGTATTCATTTCTTCTCCCCTCCTTGCGTAGCTACAATGGAACAAAAGCATATACAAACTGCTTTAGAGCAAAGTACAGCTGAGAACTAGACATGTCAAAACCCAAACAACCTTCTGTACTGATCAAATCCTTTACAGCAGCAGTATATTCTCAAGCGAGTTTGAAATGATACCTGAAGCAATTCCTTTTCTCTAGAGGCCTTCCATTGTCGAAATTGTTCCGCCTCTTGCTTCATTCTGTGTTGCAATTGAACCTGTGCAAGCAAGAAAAAAACAAGGACACATACACAGAGATTAAGCAAAATGCCACGAAAAAGGTACAATTCAGACTCTGAATAATTGAAGGTGTCTATCTGACCTTCTGTGCCTTTATAGATTGTATCTCTTCTTGCAATTTCTTTGCCGCTTCATCGCTTTTTTGTTTCTGCTTCAAAAGCTGGACCTGGCTCTCCTGTTTCTTCTTCAGATCTGAAATCTGGAATTACAGCAATTTACAAAGCTTGTTTATAACAACTTCAACATGAAATGGCTAAACACTCTCTCTGAAAGAGAAAGATATAACAAACCTGTGTCTCTAATGTCTTCAATTTCTGGGAGTGAACATCTTGCAATTTCTGAGCATGCCCATCCGAGCCAGCTGAGAGATTTTCGATTTCAGCTAGCAAACGGTCTCGCTCTTGCTGCAGTCAAAATAAGCAGTCCGATCAAATGAAACTTGACTAGCAAGATAAAACAATAAAAAGGTTTCTAGGTGCAATCTTAAACCTGCACAACTCTTTTCTCATCCTCCATTTCCATTATTTTCTTGCCGAAGTGTTGCTTGAGTGCTACAGTGTCGAAACCTCCAACAAGTTTCATCTCCGACTGCTCATAAATTTAAGATAACAACAAACATCAGAAAACTGCAATGCAAGCTTTAAGTGGAATTTTGGACTAGTTGAGATTAGATCGTAGATGTACAAGTATTAGCACGTAAGGTCTTTTGTGCATGTTTCAGCAGAAAGTATCACCTGGAAAAGAAAAACATACCTCTTTCTCTTCCAAGCGCCTGTTCAACTCGTGCAGCTCCTTGTCCATTGTGCTTTGGAGAAGCGTGTGCTCCCATTCTTTAGCTACTTCATCATCAATTTCTCTAGTATCGCTCTGTACTGTTTCAACCATTTGATAGTCTGATGCTTCTAGACTGCGTAAGCTCCTTTTGAGTCCCTCACCTTTTACAGAACATATACTAGCGTCCTGAAAGGAGGGGAAAAAATGAAATTTCTACATTCAATCCCTACAGCCTACCTAATGTTACATTGGTTTTATTCAAATTAACAGCAAGCTTAATAAAAGAAAAGGCCATTAAAAGAATACAAGGAGTTCGTAACATACTTGAACATCTATGTCACGGGGATCCACAGCAGCACACCTGCTGCGATATACATGAAGCTCTCTACAGAGATCCTCGTTTGTAGATTCAAGCCATGCGATTCTTTCCTTGAGAACCTACATCATGAGAGATCTCTTAGACCAACTATGCAGTGAAATTATAAGGAATGCAAGATAGTTTAGGTCATCATTTAAACATACTTGCACTTCATCGGATGAAGATCCTCCTCGGGCACAGAGTTCTGCCTGAAGATACTCCAGCTGTTGCCGCATTTTAAGCATCTCACTTGACATTGGATCTCTATTGACCTATGAAAACAAGAAGATGCAAAATGGATGTTCAATGATAGGTTTGGTACAAACAATAGATTGCATTTCCTAAATTATTGCCAGGTACTTACAACAGGCTTGTTTTTAATATTCCGAGCACGATTCGCATACTTTAGAGTGTTCAGGGTTTCCTCTGCATTTATATCAGCAGGGCTAATGCAAGCTGGGAAAAGCAAGAGATGCATTTTCACAATGTTAGAGAAATGCATTTAAAAATAAGTGGTAGAAAAATAAGAAGACAAATGCATGCAAAGCTACCTATCATGCAAGTTCTGCTGTTACCGCCAAGCGAGTCCTGCAAAAGCCGAGTCAATTTACTGTCCCGATAAGGAACATGAAGACCTTCTTTCCGCTTTTTCTCATCCCCAAGTGCGCTGATCACATTGCCAAGTGCCAAAAGCCCCTTGTTGATGTGAATGCCTGTTTGTATAAATAGAAAAAATTCATAAGTTCCATCTTGAACAAGAATTTATCAAAACATAATTAAAAATAAATAAATGCAAAAAACAACCTTCCTTAAAGCGCAAGCCATCTGAACCAGTCCTCTTGGCCCTTTCAGATCCTGCTAGATCTACCAAATGCAACTTAGCGCAAAGATACTCATCGTTCATCCCATCGTTTTGACTCCCATCTCCAGTAGAGAGTGAGTTGTTTTTCTGCATTTGCTCCAGCGTGATGGTGAAAATAGCGTGGGAACGGCTACACCAACAAATGAAAACAATCGCCCCAAATGATTAAAACCGGCAAAGAGAATGTTAGTATCATCTTTTCATTATCTCTTACTATCTCCTGGATCTTAGACTTACTGTGGAAGCCAGCTATTGTACTCCATATAGGAATAACTTACCTTGATTGGTTGTTCATATTTGTACTCCCAGTTGCCCTGCTCAACGATCCTTGCTCTAGGTAAGCGGCCATTTCCTTCAAACTGCCAACACTAACTTCCGTGGATCCTGCAAGCGTTATCACGCCGTTTGAAGATTCTCGAATTTGTATTGGTGGCTTTCCTGGCACGTTTACTTTCCCCGCATGTCCATTGGGAGATTCTGCTTTGTGCAGACACGAGGGATCCAGCAAGTCTCTCACTTCTTCTTTCAGAATCTGTCACACAATAGAAGAACACTCTCTCAGTTAGGTACAACCAGACACGAGTAGACAGGTAGAATTTTAGTGAAGGAAGGCATCACAGAACGTTACAACAAACCTCAATGAATGAAACATGGAGCTGGAATTCAGTTTGATGCTTCAAAGTCTCGATCTTTCCGAATAGTACACTCATCACTTGAGGAACTATTCCAGCTTGGTAGCTTTCTTTGAAACCGGTACCCATTGTATATGTCTTTCCGGATCCCGTCTGCGAATAAATACTTGCATTCAACAAATTGAACAGAAGAACAATGACACTGATGATGATTCCCATTCAAAATCAAACCTTTGAATACCTACCTGACCATAGGCAAGGACAGTAGCATTGTAACCCTGGAACAAGCCATCAACCAATGGAGCAACACACTCCTCGAACATGGCTGTCGATGGTGAACCCGTGCTCCCATAGACATGATCGAATGTAAAGGAATGTGTACCTATTTGAACCTGCACCATTAGCCTAACTGCCTTAGAACTTGGAACTGTAATTACAAAATTTGAGCTAGTAGTATACGTATGGAGGAAAACAGAAAGGAACAAAACAAAATAGCCGACACCAGAAATTGGCCGCAAAAACTTTCCCATCACAGAGAATGACCATTCAACCTTTTTCACCTGAATTTTTTTTTTTATCAAATCCAATTTCGAGAATACAAAATAGCCAAATACGGAAATGGGAAGGAGATCACTTTTCTGGGCTTCTGCACTTCCTCCCGTCATCCCACCCAAAAACTCCTACTTCGCAGTGACGGGTCAAAAAGAAACCACGACACTCTGGTAAATTTCCCGTTTTAGTATTAAAAAAAAAAAAAAAAACTACCAGCAGTGAAACGGGGAAAAAAAATAATTCCTCAAGGTTCCCACTTCCCCGCAGCTGCTGAGATCTAGATCTCCTACCACTCTGGCTCAATCCATCACCAGAGCAAGAAAGATCAAAGCTTTCTGTTCATTCCTCACTCTGCTGACCGAACAAACAAAACCCAACCCATTGCTCCATCCTTTATTTACTTTTTTTTATTTGGCGGGCATTAACTTCAGGGGGCAGTAAATAAAGGGGAGCAGACACTCTAGAGGAAAATGCCGTACCTGAGGCTTCCCAGGGACAACAGTGACGCAATCTTTACATCCTTGAGCTTTCTCGTCAGCGATGAGCGGTCTGACGTGTACCGCTACTTTTACACAACAATCCTCCCCTCCTCCGCCGCCGCCGGGAGGAGAAACAGGGGAAGGAGACGGCGGTGCATCCATCATAGAACCCCAGATGAAAGGACAGCACAAATTTCGAGCAGCAGTGAATTCAGACCACAAAGTTCGCAACTTTAGCAAGAAATCACCACACCCTTCTCCTGAATTCAGAGTTTCAGACCCAAAAATGTGAAAAAACAAGAAGTAGGGGAAAGAAGAAGAAGAGAGTAAGAGCAGCAGCTAAAAACGAGGAAATTTTGGGAAGTGGGTATTTCTAGGAAGAGAAAGACAATGTGAAAAAGGGAGGAGGAGAGGGAGAGAGAGAGAGAGAGAGAGAAAGTGATAGGGGTAGTTGGGGAAAATTAAGAATAGAGGAAAAGAGAGGGAGAAAGGAAAGAGTGAATACAGGTAGAAGGAGAAGGAGAAGAAAGGGGGAATAGAAGTAAGGCGGCAGGGGCAGGCAACTGTAACAACAGCAATGGCAACAACAACAACCACTATCATTTTCCTTAACCTTCACTCACTCACTTGGTACCTTAACTTCTTCTTCTTCCTCACCAGTCTACCACCCACTTCCTTCTTGCAGTTGTTGCTTTGCTTGCTTCCTGGTGCTCCTGTCCTTTGAAGTAACTAACTAATATTACTTGTTTATTGGTAACAAAAACTGACCAAAAAGAACTTTGAGCACACTCTTCCCCAAACTACCCCTATCCTCCCTCCTGATTCTCTCTCATTCAACGGCTTTCTCTTTTACCTTTTCTCTATGCCTAACCGAACTGGTGAAATGCAGCCTCTAAAAGCATTAACGAGTGTCTATGGTAGTGTTGGGAAACGGTGCGGTCTGGTCTAGACCAGACTATATATACGGTATATGGTCCAGATCGAGAAACTGAAGTATAGACTATAGATTATACGGTCCGGTCCAGATTACGCCTGTGCGGTCTGGTTTGGTCTGATCTAGTCCAGATAGACCACACTCAACAAAAAATGAATAATTTGTTTAGTAAACCACACAAAAAATTGAACCAATAACCAAGAAAAATAATTGTTATTTTTCTTAACACATTAATCCTAACATGCATGAATAATTTTGATACCCTAAATCTTAGTACATAAAAAAGATACAAAGTAAAAGCATCCCAACTTGGACCATAACGTCATAAACATTAAAGTAATGTCGTATGGAGACACAATTATTTCTACTCTCTGATTAAATGTGGTTGTGAATGAAGGAGGGACGAGATTCCCAAAACTAAGGTTGAGACTTGGGTGTCGTTGTGGGAGTTGGGAGAGTGGTCGAATGGGCTGTTAACACGTATTGACAAGTCAGTTGGGTCCACGGTTTGGTCCGGTAAACTGTGGTCTAGACCAGACCAGACCAAGAGATCAAAACATAAAATAATACAGACCATGGACCAGACCAGACCATACTTAACGGTCTACGGTCCGGACCAAACTGTGCGGTACGGTTTGAACCACGATTTTTCTAACGGTCTAGTCTATTTTCCCAGTCCTAGTCTATGGTGTTCTTGTTGGCTCCATTTTGTCCTTTTTCACCACTCTTCTTTACTCTACTCTTGTGACCTCTGCTCAGCTGAGCTAGGGTGTGGAACAGGTTGGTCTGTCCGGATTGCACCTGATTAAACCGACGTTTATATCAAATTATATGGAATTGAATATAATGTGATTTGATCTTTGATTTCAGAAATTTTATAAATATTGAAGAAAACAGTATCGAAGTATCATTTAGATCAAATTAAAACAAACCACGAGTAATGTTGATTCGATAGTTGATCCTAAGATCTTTTTTATTTTACTTTTGGACGGCGATTCTTATTAGCTTGGTCCGGACCAAACCAAATAGTTATACACCCTGACTCCATATATTTAGGTTGGGGGAGTTATTACGGTTTTGCCCCTTTAAGCATGTCCTTCACTCCATGTTTTGGAAAGCTTACTCCTTCCATTTTCTACTATTTCACTCCAACAGTAAGTACTTCACGCCTCTCCCTTTCAGTTTTCCTTTGTGTTTCTTATATAGGACGCGTGGTAATTTCCTCTCTAAGCTTTTAGACAAGTTGTATCCTGTTTTTCACTACGGGTGATTCTTCTTCATTGGAGTTGTTTACCATCACCTTTTTTTATTGTGTGTGATTTTTTCAATAAAAGAGGCCTCAACAAAAGCCAAAATGGTAAAAGAAGAGAGAGAGAGAGAGAGAGAGAGAGAGAGAGAGAGAGAGAGAGAGAGAGAGAGAGAGAGAGAGAGAGAGAGAGAGAGAGAGAGAGAGAGAGAAGTATCCCAGAAAAGAGAAAGAACAGTGCACGTGATCGCAGAATCATGACAACCACCGTCTCCCACCACCACCGGCCACCGGCGGGATTCTGACTGTCAGAAGTTGGAGCACGAGGGGGCTAGAGAGAGAGAGAGAGTCGAGCGTGGAAGCAGCAGCAGCAACTACTAGAATGTTTTTTTTCCCACTCTTCATTTTTCTTCTCATTTTTTGCTTGTTTATTCATTTCAGAACCACCAATTTTCCAACGTGTACATGATTTCCTCTCTTGGGGTTATTAGAAGTAGGGATGGCAAAAATATCCGTAACCGTGGATATCCACCCGAATCCGACCTAATCGGGTTGGGTAAAACCCGAACCCGAAGCATTTTTCATGGGTACGGGTAAAACCCGAACCCGAATATTGCGGGTAATGGGTGGGCATGGTTATCTCACTATCCAACCCGAACCCACCCGATTATACACATGCATATGTATTTTGTCTAGAAATAATCATTATGTTTCTCTAGAATATTTTATATTTAGCATATAAATATAATATTTTCATGAGGTTATGTTGTTTTAATTAATTTTCGTCATTCTAGTGAATTATTGTCGTACTTTTCCTCTTACGTAATGTGAGTATACGTGTGAATGTTAACATATTGGTTGGAATTATAAGGAGAAATTATTACCCATGGATAACCATGGATACCCGAAACCCGAACGGGTATGGGCATGGTTTTGATTTTCTACCCGTTTCTCGTGTGGGTACGGGTATGGGTAAAACCCGAACTATATTGGGTAGGGTAACGGATATGCACTATCCGCGCCCAACCCGACCCATTGCCATCCCTAATTAGAAGGTACAATGATTTGTGTACAAACCTCCATTCTCCCTCCCTCTCTCTCTCTCTCTCTCTTCTTATTTTTCCTGCCTTTCTTCCTTATTTCCCCTTTTCCTTGGGGGATCTTTATTCGTTGTTTTGCTTCTTCTCCTCCACATGCAACAAAATCTCACATGCATCGAACCCCCTTTTTTTATTTCTTAGGGTTATAGCTGTATTTTATGCATCGCTCTCTCAGACAAGGAAGCCTCCATCACCCAACCTTAACCAAGCAAAGTAATAAAGAAACATAATCCCTTTTTTTCTTCCCCATCAAAGACTGCAGCTTACTTTCTCTCTTACATATGCTTGGCTTTCTTTTTTGGGCACAATTATGTGTCCATAGAGAGAGAGATCAGTCACAGCGTGACATAATTGACACTTGAACCGCCTTTTTCTGTCACTAATTAAACAGCATAAGACTAGAGAAAAAGGGATCCAGCACAAAGAAAGCAGGAAAGAAAAAAAAAAAAAAGGGGAAGGAAGGAACAGTGGCAAAGAACACACTCTGGTAGCGAGATGCCCCTACCACATTACCGAATCGTACCACTCATTCAAGCATACATCGTAACAATTTGATAGATAATTGTCATCGCATGCATTCAACGGTTATAAAACTAATACGAAATACGCGTATTTACGGCGTTAAAGATCCTAACCTGATGTATGGGGAGTGGAGAAGGAGAAGGGACAGAGGGAGGTGGTGGTCTCCCCCGCCATCCATCCATCCATCCATCGTCTCTTGTTGTGGTCACATGGGGGCTTTTGGTTAATGTCTGTTCTCTATCCAGGGTGGACCCTCTGACCCTAAAAAAAAGTCCCTTCCTTGCTTTGCTTTGCTTTGCTTTGCTTGCAGTGTTTTTCTGGTCTGGTCTTCTGGCAGTTCCATTAATTCTGTCTTTTGGCATTTCTCTTCGGGTTTGATTTTACTCCATCCAATTCCATGGCCATGTATATTCAACATTCAACCTCTGCTTCTCTGTCTGCTGGGCGCTTCCACATCGCCAGCACATCATCAGTTTCCCTTTTCTTATCACCATGTAAAATAAATGAGAAGAGAAGACTTGTACAGCTTTCAAGTTTCGACCCTACTACATCAAAAATAATGCATCGAAGCTGCAAAGTAAACCTTGTTGTGGTGTGCTTTGCAAATTGTCCATCCGATGCACTATTTGTAAACAAGTGGTTCAGATTAATACAAGAACCTCCCTCAACAACTCGAGTTATTGGTATAAGTTGATTCTTGACAGTATTAGTTAATATGTTGTTCCGGAGCTTACGATCTTCTTTCTAAATGTGTGAATTGTTAAGTAATGGACTGTTTGGTCTTCTCCAAATTAATGTTCTCTATGTCTCTTCAAGAAAGAAAAGATGACAATTTTACACATTCAATATTCCTTGCACATTTCCATGGATGAAAGCCTATCAAATGAGTTCGAAGCTTCCTTAAATTTATAAACAATCCCTTCTATGAGTTTCTAAGATTCTATCATACATTTCTTTCTCATAAATATATATATAATGTCGTGTTATAACATTAATTTATAGTAATAACTCGAATGTTTTTAGAAAGGTTCGACAATCAGTCTTTTGAAATCATCTGGTTTGTACATTTATAATGGCGCATTTTGTTTAGCAATAAATAAAGCTAATTTGCATTACAACATCTTGCCTATTTATTAGAGAACAACTTGAGGATCAAAAGGGGGTTTGATTTTGTACAATACAAGACTATATGTCATTCCTAAGTCATGTGTTTTTTGTTCTTTTTTTAGAGGAGAATTGATGGCTTACCTTAATTTATTGGCCTCCAGATTATAGCGATGGATGGAAAAGAAGACATCCTCAATCCACAGTCCAAAATGTATCAAACCCAAGTTCCTACTTGCTAGACTTTGGAATTGTGAAGTTTCTAATTCGAGTTCTTTTGATGGCTTCTCTTCACCAAATATCTTTTAAAACATATGCCTTATGGATACCAAATAAGGCATCATTGCCCTAACCCCACCCTTTCCTTCAAGTGCATGTATAACAACTAAACAAAATCCAGAAAAGGTCCATTACAATCCTATTCACCCAATTGTTTGTTTCCATCTCCACATCCAAAATTATAATCATTTTGGACCACATAAAAAAAAAAACTGGCCTACAGGTGATGTTGTGATGGAGTATCAACCACATTTTGGTGTCGAAGTTTGGAGCTAACAATCAAGAGGGGAAAAAAATTACCCACTTATGGGTTCGGTCTGTTGACAAACGTGTTGACTTTGGATAGTAAGCTCCTAATTCAGTGTTGATCGTAGAAATTAGAAAATATCTACCACTTACGAGACGTACCAATCAACCTATACATCTCGACTCATCGTCAACAACAAATGATTAAGGCTGGAGTTACCTTAATTTCAAAACATGGGTTGGGGTGGAAAATTTTCCTTTCATTTTCTTCTTACCATATAGATATATACACATCCAGGTGGGTAGTAGACTGCAAGTTAAGCAAAGATGAGGTGTGAAATGTAGACATCAATTCCCCCCCTTT